GGGTGGGGGGGGACAGGGGCACTCAGGGGGCAGTGCAGTGGAAGAAGGTTTTGACTAAACTGAAAGAGTCCTCCAGCCAGTCATTCATCAGAAGCCCCCCGTCCTAGGAACGGGCTTGTCCTCCTTGTCCTCGTATCCTCACTGTGCTCAGAACTGGCTGGTGGCTGTCCACAGGAAGTATGGCGTCAGCAAGAAAATGGTGGTGGGGTCAGAGCGCTGAGCCGGAGCTGTCCATCAATTACATGCTCTGGCATGGGAGGTCCCAGCCCCTTTGTGGCTGTAACATAAATCTAATGCTCACAAACCATTCCAGTGATTACATGATAGATGGGAAAGTATAGGTGTTTCACAACATGAACTGAGAACTAAAACTCCCCCCAAAAGTAAAAGGTTTAAAGATTTTATATTCTAAGTGCAATAGGTAAAATCTAGTAAAATCTTGTAAACAAAAAAAGTACCAGCCTACAACTACTTTTTAAAAAATTTTTCAATTACAGTTGACATTCAGTATTATTTCAGTTTCAAGTGTACAGCATAGTGGTTAGACATTTATACAATTTATAAAGTGAACCTCCCCTATAAGTCTAGTATCTACCTGGCATCATACAGAGTCACCACAATATTATCTGCTACATTCCCTATGCTTTACACACCATGACTATTCTGTAACCGCCAATCTGTACTTGGTAATCCCTTCACTCAGCCCCTAACCTTCCCCCAATCTAGCAATCATCAGTTTGGCTTACAACTATTCGTAACAAGTGCCCTCCTTGATAATAAACTAAAACATTAAAAACAATTGTTTCTATTCCTAAAAATGGTCCCTAAAACTTCATAAGTCCTATAGGAAAGTCATGAGCAAAAAATTCAAAATGACCCACTAATTTTACTTTTCCCCTTGATGATTAAATAACTTAAAACTGGCCCTGACTGGGAAGCTCAGTTGGTTGGAGCATCGTTCTGATGTGCCAAGGTTTCGGGTTTGATCCCCAGTCAGGGTACATGCAGGAGGCACTCAGAGAATGCATGAATGTGTGGAGCAACAAAATCAATCTCTTTCTCTCTCTCTCTCTTCCCCTCTCCCTCTCCCTCCCTTTGAAAGCAATAAATAAAAAGTTTTTTAGCCCGGCTGGGCGTGACTCAGCAGTTGAGCATTGACCTAGGATCCAGGCGATCGGGGTTCGATTCCCGGTCAGGGCATATGCCCGGGTTGCGGGCTCAATCCCCAGTCAGGGGCGTGTAGGAGGCAGCCCATCAATGACTCTCTCATCATTGATGTTTCTCTCTCTCTCCCTTTCCTTTCCTCTCTCTGAAATCAATAAAGATATATTAAAAAAAATAAAAAATAAATTTTTAAAGTAAAACTTATTTAAAAAAATAAGCCATAAAACTTAAAACTGAGAAAGAGATATGTCAGAGAGCACGTTAAAGGCCACACTAAAAGAATAGCCATGTGCTAGCCATTTTATTTCCTTACTATATGAAATTTCAATTTTCTGTCCTCAGATTTTGTTGAGTCTATTTGTAAAGATGTCAAACACTAATTTAAAATTCAAAGTAATTTTCACTGATATTATTTATTTTCATTTTCAAACAGTTAGCAAAGAGAACAGGAAATGTCACATTTTACTCAAGGGACTACGGGGCAGGGGCAGATTTAGAGGCCACCAATTATTTAGCTACTCAAAATACTAACAATACGCTAAGCTGACTCTTTACATCACTAAAGACATTTTCAAAGTCGCCCAAAATGGCAGCGGCCAGCCCATGAGGGAGCCTAGGCATCCCTGGGCATGCATGTGAAGCGCTGAGGTGACGTCTCCCACTTCTCCTACAGATTCCGAGCTGCCGAGCCCAGGGAGCCTGGCTCCCAGCAACACCAGCGATGGCCCCGGGAGGAACGCCACCCTTAACGAGTTTGACACCATCGTCATGCCTGTGCTCTACCTCGTCATATTCGTGGCGAGCGTCTTACTGAATGGCCTGGCGGTGTGGATTTTCTTCCACATTAGGAATAAAACCAGCTTCATACTTTATCTCAAAAACATAGTGGTTGCTGACCTCATCATGACGCTGACATTTCCATTTCGAATAATCCATGACACAGGACTGGGGCCTTGGTACTTCAACGCTATCCTCTGCAGATATACTTCGGTTTTATTTTATGCAAACATGTATACTTCCATCGTGTTTCTTGGGCTGATAAGCATCGACCGCTATCTGAAGGTGGTAAAGCCATTTGGGGACTCTCGCATGTATAGCATAACCTTTACAAAGGTTTTATCCATTTGTGTTTGGGTGATCACGGCTGTTTTGGCCTTGCCAAACATCATCCTAACAGATGTTCAACCAACTAAAGAAAATATTCACGACTGCATGAAACTTAAAAGTCCCTTGGGAGTCCAATGGCATAATGCAGTCATTTACGTCAAAAGCTGCTTGTTCGTGGCTGTGCTGGTGATCCTGATCGGATGCTACATAGCCATATCCCGCTACATCCACAAGTCCAGCAGGCAGTTCGTGAGCCAGTCAAGCCGGAAGCGGAAACACAACCAGAGCATTCGCGTGGTGGTGGCCGTGTTTTTCACATGCTTTCTGCCGTATCACTTGTGCAGAATTCCTTTTACTTTTAGTGACTTAGACAGACACTTAGATGAATACGCGCACAAAATCCTGTATTACTGCAGAGAACTGACACTTTTCTTGTCTGCGTGCAATGTGTGCCTGGACCCAATAATTTACTTTTTCATGTGTAGGTCATTTTCAAGAAGGCTATTCAAGAAGTCAAATATCAGAACCAGGAGCGAAAGCATAAGATCACTGCAAAGTGTCAGGAGATCGGAAGTCCGCATATATTATGACTATACTGATGTGTAGGAGTTAAAGGCTACAAGGCCTCCCCTTGTTTGTTAGAGTCAATATGTACAAGCTGTAAATAAATGTTTCTTTTGATTATCCTTGCTTCAGCCCATCAAAATGTGCATAAACAGAGAGCTAAAATGATATAAAATCTGGGTATAATTTGAAACTCCAAAAAACATTAAGGCAGACCAAAAAGTGAGATAAATGAGAGGTAGTGCATGGCTAAGAGGCTGGGCTCTTGACGCAGAGCTGAAGGGGCAGAGGCAGAAAGAGCCACGTCAATGTCAAGGCACAGCGGCCATCTCCCAGGAAACGCTGCCACTCCACAGCCACTCTGGGGAGAAATAAAAAATATAGAGAAGGGAGTTCTACCTAGCCTTCAAATTTAAGTTTAGGGAAAGAAAATGCTGTTTTGAATATAGCTCATTTACATAACTGAGTACATCCTGATTACTAGGCCTTCTGTCATTCCATCTGCAGATATGCAGGACCTTTGGCATCACCCCTTTATCAATGTCCTGTTTATCAATGTCCTGTGCATATTTTTAAAAACTTGTGTAGTATAGGGGTAGGGCGGGAGAAGGTTCCACAACATTTGTTAAGATTTGTATTTGAAAGATTGAATTCAATGAACTGATTTTAAACTTAGGCAATTTTAGAAAAAGAGAAGTGTGACTGAATATTAGGCCGAAACACTCTGAACTTACATGTGTCATTATTACACACCTATTCTGCATTTACATCTTCATGCTGAGGGTAGAGCAGAGAATATGGAAGCTTGGCTAATAATTGAGTACATGTAGTTTATCAAAAAGCCATTTAATAGTCTTTATTTTAGAAAAATTATTAATGAAATTGTCTTCCCTTTAAGCTTTATCTCACCTTTAATAATATCATTCATTTAAAAAACTGTTTAGTATGTTAGTCAGGTTTGAAAAAGGGGTTGGTAGTGAAGGGGCTAGAAGAATTATCTGAGGATCTCTATCGAAATATCCATCTCTCCATCAAGATTCCAATTCCATAAATTCCAGGGCACTCCAATATATGAATATATACACCTCACTTGGTTATTTCAATAGCCACCCCCTCCCCGAACTGTGTGCCACTAGCTAGGTTAAGATTGCCATGTTTTACACCAGCTAATGTGAAAAAAGTTTGAAAGGCTAATTCCTTTCTCCATCCTGCTCATAATACTGAGGATGAGTAACAGCCACCCTATACAAAGTGAAGGGACCAGTACTGCAGCTGGAAAATACCCTCAGCACAATGTCCTATCCCTCTATCCCCCGTTTCTCTCCACTACATCACAGCTCCCAAATATCTCAAAAATGGTAACACCCACTTTACTCCGTCTGTGCACGTGTGTATGCACATATAAATGCATGATCACTTGGAACCCAAAACTAAGGGTCTACCATCTTTAATAGTGTCAAATGGCTCCATTTAGCACTCTGGAATTTACCAAACACTTCTCTACCCCAGACCTCAATTCTAAGAGGTCTTTAAAATATTTCAATCCCATTCTAATGTTTCTAAAATTGGAACATTGTATAGTGGGCACATTTAATGTTATAGTGATTTTACTCTCTGAAATTACATTATTGTATTAGTGGGACATCTTAAATGCTGACTTAGAAAAAACAGAGAGAACACTGTCCCCATCTAAAAAATAAATTGTGTTATAAAAACATTAAAATCATACTCCTTATGTTTTACATCATGCCCATGCTGTGGTCTCAAAAATTATTTATCCTGGCCAACCAAGAATAAATATTTACATGAGTAAAATATTATCAATAGAATAACATTAAATATTAGCACTGAATAAATTTTTAAAATTAATTGATAATTTGAAAATAACCTGAAGTCTAGCATTTCTTACATGAGCTTTTGGATTATAACTCAGTATTACAGGATCCGCTCAGGCAGTAATAAATAACACACTTGTTCTTCCTGTATGCACATGGGAAAACATATTCAGACAACTTCAAAAAAGAAAATCTATCTATTCTTTCTAAAACTTACATTCAATGAAACTGATTTGTAGAAAATCTTTCAGTGAATGTCTTGCTCCCTGTATTCACTACCCAATTCATACCATTTTATTTCATTTCCAAACAGTACACCAGTATTGTTTTTCTCAAATAAAGCTTTAAGAAAATGTTAACTAGGAAAATCCACAAATTTAGATTAAGAAGTTAATGCAAAATTGTGTGTGCACATGCACACGTGTATACACAAGATCATACAGCCTAAACAAAGAAATTTTATGATAACCATAGGGGAAAAATAAAGAAATGTGAGATAATAGTAAAAAAAATTAAGAAAACAAGGACAAAATAAAGCTTTGGAGTCCTTTAAATTTTATATTTTTTCCAGACTAAACACCACAAGAAGATAGATAACAAAATAATAAATACTTACTAGGCACGTACCATGTAAAAAAAATAATATTGTGCTAAACATGATACTTAAAATAATCTTTGGATATCCCTAAATGAATTTCTAAAAGTAAATATTTCTTAAAAGCAAATATTTTCAAATTTCAACAAAATGCAGGCATCTCCTAGATGCAGAATTTGGTATACCCTTAGCCTTCTAGCACCATCTAGTGGTAAAATTCATGAAACAGAGGAAGAAAACGACTAGTGTCCTAAAAGGCCTACCAAGCCCTTCCCTAGTCTTTCTTTAGTTATCTTTAGTGCTAATGTGTACACACACACACACACACACACACACACACACACGCACGCACGCACGGAACTGGAGCTGCCTAGAAAAACATAAGATGCAAATGGTTGAAAAGAATAATTAAGACCTACGGAAAGTTATCTTACAGATGTTAAAAAGAAAACCACTAAAAAGGCAATACACATGGATTTCATTGGGAAAATGCTGCTACAAATATTGACTGCTCTTTCCTAAATTACATACATGAAAATATAAGTTAAAAATAACATCTATGGATTGAAAGTACACAAAAACACATTTATTACTGTTGAAGTGGAGGGAATAAGACTGTGTTGAAAGTTATACTTATCAAGAAACTCATGGGATTCAAATGCCAACTTTTGTTTTGAATATTCTTAAGGCTTTTATAAACCACAATAAGAAATCATCTAAAGAGATAAGAAATCATCTAAAATGATAAAAACGATGTATTGTGGCTTTTAGACCACATATCCTTTTTTATCCCTACCTGGAAACCCACGTAATGGAAATAAATTGGAAATTCTTTTATCTCTAACAGCTTCATAGGCAAACATTCTCAATGAAAGTAAAGTGGCCAATTTCTCTTCGAATAAGGCCAGAGAATATCCACTGCGTGCAGTCTGGGCAGCATCTGCCAGAACTCTCAGAAATGAGCCACATGTCTGACTAAGTCAGTGTGGCTTGGGAACAGGGTCTAGAATAGTCACCACATTTTTCAGAGTCTCCAAGTCTAGGTCTGGATTTAAATGTTAGAAACAAAATTCCCAGCTCTGACACACTTACATACACACATACGCAGACCAACATACCACATGTATAACAAGGACTGATGGTTTTATTAGTACAAGTGCGTCACTCAGCCCCTTAACCTAGTAACTACTTTAAATAGTCTTAAAAATCATTTCCTGTGCTTAATATTGTAACTACTAGCCTAAACCAAAATATCTCCGATAATAGTGAAGCCATCTATAAATTACCAATAAATATCTATGTGTTTTTCAAAAAGCCTGAACCATATCACGTGTCTTAAAATTTTTGTTATTTTGTGCAGCTAGAGAAATATCACCATAATAAAAGAATGAATATGTAAGGACATGAATATTAGGCAGAACATTTATATACTATTTAAACTTGGAGTCATCTAGATCAGTGCTTCACAACACAATCAAGGTCAATGCATCCTTTCTGAGATAGTCAACATATTTTTAGTACGCTGATATAAAGCCATAGATCAAATCTACCTACACATACACATGAGTACACATACACACAGACCTCAGCTTACACAGTAGTGCGGACCATAAAAATAACTGCAAAGCAATATTAGTAATCAATAGAAAAAATTATTGTCCATAAGTTTAAAAATTTGTCAAAATATTAAAAGCTTTCTTACTGCTGGTTATAAATTTTAAAAAGTAAATTTATAGCAGTGGAAATATTGAGAATTAAAGTGTTTTATTCCTTTGTAAAAAAGAAAATTTAAGAGTACGGTGAATAGTGCTAGCCTTGCTGGTATATAACAGGACAGAGTAGACATCTCTCTCCGCCTTGTAGAACTGTCGCACTCCTTTCTAAGATTGAGTCAGCTTCCAACATTCTATCTTTTCATCTCCAGAAATTCCTTTAATGTGAAGCTTTCTGCCAGCATCACTTTCTCTACACTCTCAGGGAGCTATTTCTTCTATAACTCCCTCTGGTTTGATTTCCACTTCCAGGTCATCACTTTTCACTTCTTTGCTGCACTTCCATCTGTGTGGGTCAGTTCTCCCCTCTGATCATCCCCTTTCATGACTATCACGGGCTTCATCAGGGCAAACAGGAGGCAGCACCCACACACCTGCTGCCTGTGCGAGCTGAACAGCAGGTGTGCAGGGACCTGGCGGGGGAAGAAGCGACGCAACCAGGCACTGACCGTGAGGCACGTGTATTACTGACACAGTAAACCTTGAACTAGAGAGTGAACAGCGAAGTTTGTACTTCATGCAATTAATCAGCTAATGCACTATGGTAACTCAGATTTCAGCCATGTTGTTAGAAGACTGGTATTATTTAAGCAAGTTATGGTAACTCAAATACATGTATGTCAGAACCATAAAATCAAGGCTGGCCTGCTGGTGTGTGTGTGTGTGTGTGTGTGTGTGTAACGATAATCGTAACGAAGAAAAAACAGAGGGAGAAACTGATAATAAAATAATATGTGATTTAATATCAAATCCTTAGGTACAACTATGTGAGAAAATAGCAGCTGCTGATTCAGCTGGAAATAGTTGATGCTTGCATCTCTATTTAATCATGAGAATGCCACTTATTAGTATTAGTGATGTGGCTTTCTAAAATGAGAAACATTTCTTGAGACGATTCCAAATAAAACAGTATTTAGACAAAAGCTACATTCATGGAAGGGTTTGGTTAATGTATATTAAACCAGTCAAAAATATATCTTACCCACAAAATAGAATTAAATCATGGGCTTAGATATTTATAAGCAGGTTTTTCACCCCTGGGAAAGTTGAATGGGATACTTCTATGAGAAGCACAGGACAAGTCTTCCCTAAGGAAGACTGCTGCATACTTTCCAAGACATCCACCATCCACCAAATAGTGGGAGATAAAAATACTCCAGATATGACAACTGCCCCTGGGGTAGTACTGACTACAGTGAGAGCCCTGATCTAGGTTCCTGAACCATCCACAGTCAGAGAGAAGAACATGCCCAAGGTTCCAAGCACTACAGAAACCCAAGACTCTAGACACAGGAAGGCCTACATAAATCTGGGGAGGCATATGGCACTAATCAAAAATTAATAAAAA